GCCTGCCGGGTGCTCCCTGGTGCATCCCCGAGTCTCAAACCCACTGCTGGCGTCTGTGGGGGCGTGTCCTCTCCAACCTTTATCACTTCCTTCCCTGCACGTCTCCCCTCATCGCCCAGCCCTCTCTCTCGCTGAGTACCCCGGACCTCTTCCTGTGGTACCTCCTCTCGTGGCACCTCCTTTGCCTGCTCTCCATGCCCCTCACCCTGAAGCGACGCCCTCCACCAAGAAATATCTAAATGCATCTCCAATTCCCTCAAGGGCCCCTCTGACGCTGGTGGCTCCCCCTGTGTGTGTGCTGGCGACGTCCTCAATCCACCCTCAATAAAAATGATGGAACTCCACTGACCCCAACCCACACTCAGGGTATGCCCCTCGCTCCTCATCCTCTGGCTACTGCTCTCTCCTGGCTAGGGCCTTCCGTCCTCCTCGAGATGGTCTCGCCTCCCTGGGCTCAGGGTCCCTCGGCCTCTTACTCCTCTGCCGCCTCTCGACTCTGGGTTGAGGGAGCTCTGGCCGTCGAAAGACCTCTCTCAAATGTGCCCTGCAGCTTTCCCAATCTCGTGCCATGTCCCTGATCTGCATAGCCAGTGGCCTTTCCGCCTTCCTGGTCCTGAGTGGTAGTGTCTGCATCCAATCATCTCTCTGTATGCCCTGCTCTTGCATGAACCACTCAAACGCAGGGATGAAGTCCGACACATTTCCAATCTCCAGGCGGATCGGCCTGCCATCAGGTCCCACCGGCGAGGGTCGCAACTCCTCGATCCTTATCTCCACCTCCTGCCTCGTCGTCGCCTCCCTACGAATCCTGGCAATGGGCTCTTCGAACCTACCTGCTCCCCTCAATCTCTCAATAGCTTGAGTGACGGTCCAGCCCATACGCCTTGCATGCTCCCAGAAACTGTCCAGGAATAGCTCGATGTCCCCATCATTGTAGACTGGAGTACTCTCTCGTTGGCGAGGCCCATGCCGCTCATATCCTCCTGATGCGCCCAACGGCCTCTGAGGCGGCCGTGTCCCCTTCCCTCCTCTTGGCATGGCTGTCTTCGTAAAGTCAGACCTGCACAACAGGCGAAGGAGACAACATGCACACGTTGGGGTAAGCAAGCAGGTGATAATCAGCGCAAGCTCAGACCAGACCACACTTATGCAGCATGCATCCTTCCTAACCTACACACCCTGTTACTTCTATTCTAGGGGCGGTCAGGTCATCTCTCTTACCTCTTCTCTCGCCACGAATTTCTTCAGTCGCATTCCAGATACCCAATCCTTCCACTCAGTCCCATTTAACTCCTCGATCTGGTACGATCCGAAGTCTCCGACCCGTGCAATTCGGTAGGGACCTAACCATCTCTTATCGAGCTTCGTGGACCACTGCTTCTCCGGCGACGTATCGTAGAGAAGCACGACATCCCCGACTGCCAAGGGTACTTTCCTCACTCGCGCAGACTGATCCTATCGGGCCTTATCATCCATACGGCTTCTCGCCACCTGATCAGATGCCTCCTGGATCCTTTCTTCTATCGCCCCGACCTGCCGCGCCCGAATATCGAGCAACTCGTCAAATGACAGGTTGACTTCCAGATCCCGGCGCCTCCACGTCTTAAGAAAGCTTTCGATAGGGAAGGTGGCATGCCTTCCGTACCACAGCGTCGCAGGTGCGTACTTGGTGGATCTCTTTACTGTAATGTTCTC